CCCCCACCCACCACCACACAACAAAAATAATTATATATATATATATATATATATATATATATATATATAAATAAATAAATAAATAAATAAATAAACAGGGCAAAAATTTCAAAAAGGGAGCATTTTCAAACGTTGCTGCTACAAAAAATGGTAAGTATCTTACTAAAGCTTATTACATAGAACATGCAACACCAGAGAGTTATTGTGTCAATTTTTTAGACTAAATTCAATCACTAAATTATATTAGAGAGAGGATTTAGACCAGTTTTAAGTCCAAATCTCAGTGCAACCTTAACTAAGAAATCACTATGATTACCCCTATGATAGAGGAGTCTTCTCTCTATTATATAGACATAGACACACACAGAGAAGCAATTTCCCTGTTTAGTAGGAACATTGCTTTAGCACTCTAGCAATAATGAACACAATCTATATTGGCTGCTAGCTACGTTTCAGACACTATAGCTTCAGATAAAAGAGCCACAATGATATGCGCCTGTAACATAAATAATAACATGTGCTCAGCCACTTAGGTGGAGCTGAGGAATCCAGAGTGCAGACAAATGCAGTAAACTGACTAGTCTGCAAAGGGGATATCATAACTTGTGACTTCTGATTGAAAAACTCCTAAAAACTCATGAATGTTGACATCTTTTGGGTTTGTTTATACTTCAGTTCCTTTTTGTTTTAACACCAATTCAAGTGTCACAACTGGGTGGAAATTTGGGGTATACAGAAACCCTTTACAGCTGTCACAAAATTACAATCTTAGTTATCAATTGATGTGCCTAATCTGCTCACCAAATTTTTGGGATGATAAAACAATTGGATGGAGCAATAGCTGTTCAATTTATTACAAAGATAAGGCTGTACTTGATAATTTCCTGCTCCTTTTCTCTAGCTAAGTCCTTTACAGGCACAGAGGCAAATTCATTATTACTGCACAAAAAGTTAGCACTTTAACTGTACTTCATCAGCAGGCATCTTCAAAGTGCTATACAAACACAGCGCAGAGAGATGCCTCTTATTCCTGAAAAATTGAAGATCATCTCAGATTTAGGAACAGTTAGGACCCCAATTTAAAATTAAGGATATGTCTTCATATTGAAGAATGTATGCTGTTTCCTGGAAGCACCGTAGTTGTAATAAAATGTGAGCAGAAATAGTGATTGTGGGGATCATAATTACATCTCCTCCCAATCTAAATAGTTGTGTCCAAGCTTTGTATCATATGCTGTTCTTTATACTGACTGATGGGCAGAAAAAAAAATAAGGAGTGGGAGGAGAAACCTGCAAGTTTAAAAGCAACCTTTAAAAAAAAAAAAGCACATTGGGTCTCCTCACTGCACCACAAAGTCTCTATTTCTCCCTAGAGCAAATCTTAAGGTTGTGAAACAGAGCGTGACTATCCACTCAGGACATTCTTGTCCTCAGTCATATGTCTGCACTTCATGTTCAACTCTCCCAAGGAGAAGCCCCGGAGAGTAAACGTGCAGGGGCTGGAGATGATCACTAGCCAGCCTAGGACAGATTCGTGTGCGATGGAGAGTCAGGTACCAGCACAGCCCCCGTTTCCATTGGCTTTGGCATACCCGGCCCCTCGGCTTTAAAGCACCCCCGAGAGTCCCCAGTCCGGGCGTGTCTCTCTTTCAAGCTCTACACTTACCCGCTATGAAAGTCAGCAGCGTCCTTGGGTTGCGGTTTGTGTCCTCCCAGCCCTCGCTCCCAAACTGAGCCCAACCCGAGCAGCCCCGGCTCCTTTCCCTCCCGCGCGCCCAAAGCAGCCCCACCCCAAGCCAGGCTCTCTCACTCCCGTCCTCCTCCCTTTCCCCGCCGCGAGGGAGAAAGGCGAAAGACTCCGCTGGGCTGAATCCCGGACTGTCCCCATTTTCCAGCGGGCTGTTACCTTCGTTACCGTTTCCGATCCATTCCCGGCTCCAAAACGCTTCCCCCGCCTCCCCGATCACAAGCAACTCTAGGCAAGGGGGGGGGCACACAAAACCTCTTCTCTCCTCCTCTTCCAGCCGCTGACACTATATATCCGGCCGGCTTTGAGACAGGAGGTGGGGGCAGAGTTGTCCTGCCCGTCTCTGCCTCTTGCAGCGAGTGCTGGGCGCAACCTTTGCGCGCGCACACGCCCA